CCTGGGATCGAGTCCCACATCGGGCTCCCTGCTCGGCGGGAAGCCTGCTTCTCCCTCTCCCACACCCCCTGCTTGTGTTCCTGCTCTCGCTGTCTCTCTCTCTGTCAAATAAATAAATAAAATCTTAAAAAAAAAATTTTTTTCCATAGTTTCAGAGCTAAAAGTATAAAACCAAGGTATGGTCAGGGAAATCTAAATTCCACCTCTGACCTTTTCTTGCTTTTTCTCCCATTGGCGGTGTATTTTTGGAGGGAGGAGGGGGATAAGCACAAAGATTATGTAAACGTACATATATACACATATACTTGCTGATAGCCACACACACACACACACATTATATGTTTCTTGTCTGTATTTCTTATGCAAAACAACATACCTATACACATCTTTCTGTACCTGGCTTTTTTGACTTAATGTATCTTGGACATGGCTCCTTAGCAGCGTAAAGAGATCTTTTTCATCCCTTTACGTAACAGCCTAGTACTTCACTGTATGGGTGTACCGTCCTGTAGTTAAGCAGTCTTCTGTTGATGGTATTTGGGGGAAATAGTCACTTTTAAAAAGACATTTTCCATATTCCAGACCACAGCACTGTGGCACTGGCCAGTAGAATTACTTAACCTTATTGTAACAGCATTTTTATTAAAATCGTTTTCATTTCTACGTCACTGCAAACATTCACTTTATAATATGCCAGGTTTCACGGTGTAGTGTGCTGGGGACTGAAGGGGCTTTTCATTAGGAAGTTAAAGTTCCTTACTTTTTATTGTTTTTCTGGGCTGGTTTTCTTAGACGCAGGGTAAGCCTAAGCCTTCGTGGCCTTTGCCTTACAGCAAGTGCTTCTGTTTATCTTAAAAGACTTCTGCTTGCTGATGGAAGCACTCCCAGCCCTCGGTTTGTAGCACCAATGTAAATCTCATTAATTCCTTGCTCGGGTGATAGAACCCCTGCGATTCCTACAACACCTCAGAGATGGGTTTTCTCATAGGCTATTAGGCTGAAAAAGGGCATGTAGTGATATATCCACTAGTCTTCTGCTTCAACAAGTACCAGCTTCTAAATGATTAGTGTCTATATTAAATATGTGTATATTGAGATACCTTAAAATTAGTTCAGATTTCTGTGATTTGGTGAATAAAGTACTCTCCTTGGCCTCATATTTAACCAGTGGGTCCCTTCTTTTGCTTCGATTTGTCTTCTGTTCAAAGGATTTCAGTAGTTAAGCACTATTTCCTCCTTTTTAGATTCTCCATGGAGTTTACCAAAGTGTTACATGCTCTTAGTTACGTAGCCTTTTCTCTAAACCTCCTTCTGAGAACCCATATTCATACATCAGTTTAGCTCTCTGATTGTTTATCCTAGAGAAAACACGAATACACCTTGACTTACCAAATATTATTGTAAGTACTTTTCCGTCCTCCTGAGCAGTGCGAAGACCTTAAAATACTTAGAATCATTAACCTCCTCATCACCTCTCCTCCCCAGCTTAGATGCTCTTGGTGTCATCATGTATTTTAGTTGGTGTCAAATCCCACAAGATCTGTCATTGTTTTGTATAGTCAATATTCACTTAGATTTTTAAAACCGCTTTATTGAGGTATAATTGACATACAATAAACTATGTATTTAAAGCGTACAGATTGATAATTTTGACCTATGTACACACCCATGAAACTGTCAGCACACATATATGTATATTCGCTAGTACACTTGTTTGTACCATAGAATCTCTTAGAAAATTAAGGTGGGAAAAAAAGAAATTAAGGTGGTCAGCAGAGCCTTATTGCTGTTATGTTGGTTTTGTTTTGTTTTGTAGCTACTAGAAATGGGAGGCAGGGTAAGAGAATTTTCATGGCTTCTTGTGCCACCATTTTAGAATTCTGCCCTCATTTTACAACTCAGTTAAAACAAAAATGTCACCTGTTTTAGGTCACTTCAGTCCCCTCTCTGGTCCCCTTCATTTAAAAAATTCAGTGTATCTTTTATCCTTTTCATCTATGTGCGTAGTGTGGCATTTGAGCTTTTCCAGTGCCTAGAAGATACTGATTTCTCATATTTGCCACCTCTTGGAAATAATAGCAGAAATATTTAAAGGCTTTTCCATTCTAATTGAGTCTATATCTTAGTAACTGTGATTTCTACAAATGAGATCAGCATACATTTTGATTTTTTGAGACTATACACACTAATTTCAAGGATTTGCATGTGTGTGTGTTCTTTTTAAAATCTCCACTGCCTGAGAATATACCAATAGGTCATAATAAGGGAAATTTTTTTTTTTTTTTTTTTAGTATATACTGCTGACTTTTGGGTTTTATTCTGTTAGCTTACACAAAATTTGTGTATTTGGTATTATGAATTATTCCTCTACTAGCCGAAGAATCTAATATTTTTAGCCTTTGAGTATAGTTTTAATTTAAATTTAATTTTCTTTTATTAAATGCTGTAAGAGATTCTCGCAAGTATAAAGTGAGTTGAATAACTTTTCAAAATGGGAATTTTGCATATTCTAATTATTTTCTGGCTATCTATAGTAATAATTACTAACACTAAACTTACTGGGTCATGCATTTGTGTTATCTCATTTAGTCCTTAAAACAAACCTGTGTGGTAGAAATTATTATCCTTACATAACAGATGAGAAACTAAGGCAGAGAGAGTTGATATAACTTACAAGTTCATACAGCCAGTAAATAGCAGATTTGGGATTTAAACCAGGCAATATATGTCCAGATCCTGACCTTTTAATCAGTATAAACTTGTCACGATTAATTTTTTTCTCTAACATTGAAAAAGAATTATATGAACCAAAATACCCTCACTAAATAATTGTAAGATTTTTGACTGTTGGCCTAATGGGCTCACCCAGACCCAAGTACGAGGGTGAAGTTAATTTTGTTTTTCGTTCTTTTAGCTGATATAGCCCAGAGATATAGGATAAGCAAATACCCAACCCTCAAATTATTTCGTAATGGGATGATGATGAAGAGAGAATACAGGGGCCAGCGCTCAGTGAAAGCTCTTGCAGATTACATCAGGCAACAAAAAAGTGACCCCGTTCAAGAACTTCATGACTTAGCAGAAATCACCACTCTTGATGTAAGTTAACTTTTACTGGATCAAATGAACATTGCCTGTTTAATTAATGTAAACAAAGTCTTGTGCAATCAAAGAATCTGGACAGTTTCTTATAATTCATTGCAGTGGATCTGACATTTACAGACTTAGCGAGTTGAATTTTTCTTGAATTAATTCTCTGAGTCTTTGGATAAAATCTGTAGCATACAGTAGAGCTGCACTAATTTAAATCAGTCGAGGGCAAAGAATAGCCTGAGTTGTGAAGCCGTAGAAGTTAATTGTCAGGCGTACACAGCCAGAGAGTTTCCATATTTTCCTTAGTGGAGACCCTCAGGCTCTCTGCTCTAATGAGTCCTGTGTCAGCTCTTTGTATAACTTCCAGTGTCCTCTAAAACAGTCCTCCGTTAATAAAACCCTTCCCACTGTATGCTTAGTAGTTAAAAAAAAAAAAAAAAAGCTATCGAGTTGGGGCTTTAGGTTGTCATTGTCAGGTTTGAGATTTGACTTTTACCCTGCTTCCACGCTAAGAAGTTAGTTAGCCTTTCATGGATGCTATCAGAAGACACAAGGCTCCCGGGTCAGAGATAAAGGACTTTATTGCTCACATCCCAGCAAACAATGGGAGCATGTTTGCCTTTGTTTCTTCAACCTTCCCCCACCGCCGACCCCAAGTCCTGTGGAGGTGACATGGAGGGTCCAGATGGATGCCTGCACACGCCGTGGGTTCTGTGGTGGGAGAACTGTGGCCTCGGAGAACTCCGGTTTCAGAGCCAGCAGTAAGCCTGCTCTCTGTCCTGGAGGGAGATTACCTCACACTTCAGGATTGCTTGCTGTAAGCACAACCCTCAGGAACGGCCTGGGTAAAGAATGCTCAGGGTCTTGCATTTGGCTGCACCTAACTGTGTAGGAGTATGAGAAACCCATGAAGGAGTCTCTACCCATAGTCATACGTTATGAATCGATGTATTATTTTAAGGATAGTTACCTTATTTAGGAATTCCTCACCTTATTTAGTAATAGATTATCACTGATCAGTTAAAATAAAATGCTAGAAGGAAATGTTTATGATTACATTAGATGGGAGGTAAGATTGTTTTCAACCTAATATAATCTTTAATAGTTTTGGACTAGGTGTTAAAATCCAAATATGCATTTCTAGTGCTACATTTGTAGATAATTGAACAACAGCTGGGTGGATGAAATGACACATTTATAGCATATCTATATATGTTTGTAAAATAATTACATACTTTATTTTACAGCGCAGCAAAAGAAATATCATTGGATATTTTGAGCAAAAGGATTCAGAAAACTATAGAGTTTTTGAAAGAGTAGCAAATATTTTGCACGATGATTGTGCCTTCCTTTCTGCATTTGGGTAAGTATCTTAATTGAGAGTGTGTTAGTGGGTCGACTTGGCTGCCATGTGACATTCTTGTTGTGTGTGGTTATTTTCTGAAGATGACCTCTCCAGACATGATCTCAGTTCCCTTAAAGTCACCAGCCAGTCTTCCTTACACCTATCTCTGACCTCTTTTTAAAAGTTTGTTTATTCTTCTTTCTATACTATATTCTATTTCAGAATATGGGTGAGTGGAAAAGAATGGACAAGTTAACAATTACCTCTCATGCTTTTATCCAGCTCATTTACTAACACTATTCTGTGTTCCCACATAGTTCTAACATGTGGGGTTTCCAAACTGAAACAACTCCTAGGCTTTCTCATGAAGAAGCATGGGCTTCGTTGTCTTGATTAATCTCCAGCTCTCCACCACCTTTTCTTCTGTCTTCCCTGTCCCAGAGGAACAGTACTCCTTCCCAAGGTTCACCTCTTTCCTCGTGTCTTTGTAACCATCCCTCGAGGATCCTCTTTGGCATTCATCCAGCAGTTGTCCTCACTTTCCCGTGTTTTCACCCTGACCCTTTTCATGACCTAATTTCTTTTGCCAAAAACATGATTCTCTCTTTCCTGACCTTTCTGTTCTATCTCTTGAGCTATAATCTCATCTCTTTCTTTTCTTTTCTAATTTTTCCCCAAGATTAGTTTATGCCTGGCCACCTTGAATTTCTTAAACACCAGCCAGTGAAAAATCCTTACCCTAGTGGAAGCCGACTTTTGCCTTCATTACTCTCGTGAGACTTCTCTCTGCACAGTCACGAAACGCTTCTTAACTGCCAAGTCCAGTGGCCTTTTTTCAGTCTTTAATCCTCTTCAGTTTCTCAGAAGGCTGGGACAATCAACTGCCCTAGCCTTTATCTGCTGTGTCTACACGTAGGCTGCCTTGAATACCCCTGGCTTGCTCCTTATTTTTCTGACTTCTCTGACTTTCCCTCCTGTTTTTTTCTTTCTCTCTCAAAATGGAATCATTCTATAGTTCTTTCCCTTTCTTTTCACTGGGGGTTATCGCCATCATCCTTTGACTTTATGCAGTATGATTTCTCTCTTTGCTTTGGCCCGTAACTGTTAGACTCCATTTTGGTGCCTATCTTGAGTAGAGTCCAGGTTTCTGGCACAGTCTGTCCTTTCCATTTTGTGACCTTTGTCCTTGTTGTAATACTTCTGTAAATTTTGTATGTGTTTTATTGTGAATGCTGTCAGTGATACTGGGAGCTCAGTGTAGGAGTAAATAACAGAAGAACTTCTCCCTGCCCCACCCCCCATGCTTTGTGCGGGGCTGCTCTCTGGCCGCACGGGCCACTTGCTTGCTTCCTCAGACACGGTGGCACTTCTGCAGCAGGGCCCTTGCCCTTACTGTGCTTGGTGTCTGAGGTGCTTCTCCTAGATCTCGTCTCCTCAGGAGGAGCTTTCCTGATAGCTTTATATAAAATAACACTGCCATCATCCAACTTGGTCATTCTTTCACCACTTAGTTTTCTTCAGAGCACCTTTTTTATTGGTGTTTGATCACCCAAAATAAATATATCTATTTGCTTGTCTCTTTCCACCAAAATGTAAGCTTCGTGAGAACACAGGCGCTGTTGGTTTTGTTCACTGCTGTGTACCCAGTGCCGAGACCATACCTGGTACGAAGGAAGCACCTAGTGAATAGTTAGTGAACAAACGAACGAATGGATGGATGGAGCATGTTCTTCCTTTTCGTTCCATTGGCATCAGTCTTGGTTAACATCCCTTGCACCTCCCTCCTTTACTGCTCTAGTCATAAACTGGAGAGAAATCAGTGTTCAAGTCACTCAAATATAATTTAGAAAGAAAAAAAGTTACCTACTTGACTTAGAATTTGTTGTAGAGTTCACTCACCAAACATTTATCGGACACCTATTATGTGCTGGATACTGTACTGGGGCGTAGGAAACGATGGTGAACAGATAAAAAAATTGCTTATTGTGGAATTATATTCTAATGATGGAAATTATTTCAGTTCATCTCCTTTTTTTTTTTTTTTTTACAAGTTTTGGTTTTAAAAAGTAAAAAGTAGGGGCGCCTGGGTGGCTCAGTCGTTAAGTGTCTGCCTTTGGCTCGGGTCATGATCCCAGGGTCCTGGGATCGAGCCCCATATCGGGCTCCCTGCTCGGCGGGGAGCCTGCTTCTCCCTCACCCTCTGCTGTTCCCCCTGCTTGTGCTCTCTTGCTTTTTCTGTCAAATAAATAAAATCTTTTAAAAAATAAAATAAATAAAAAGTAGAGAGTTCTGATTGAGTTTGACTTAGAAGCAAATAATTTATTTTTGTGATTGATCTATGTGACCACATCAGTGACCTTGATCCCCAGTTACTGGAAACAGTCTGGTGTCAAAAATAGCTTTTGGTGCTACAACTGCCAATCCAAACTTATAAAATATTGAGTCCCAAAAACAGCTAACTAAACTTTTCCTTTGAAAAAGTGCCTCATATTAAAGTTTTCCTTTAAATACATGCTTGTTGTTAGTATTACATAGTCTTATGAGTAGGAAAGATGATGCACAGGTATATATTTCAAGTCATTATAATACATACATTGCAAAACAACCAGCCCATTCTGTTTCATTCAAGTATATCACTGCTGTTATTCTTAAAACGTATTATTACTACTTCTCTCTTCCTATTAGAGCTGTTTCAAAACCAGAAAGATACAGTGGAGACAACATAATCTACAAACCACCAGGGGTAAGTCGCTATTTCTTAGTGTGTATAATTTTAAATATAATTTAAATACATGTATAGGATAATCTGTAGTTTTATACTTGTTAATTCACAGAATCATCGAATTTTAGTACAGAAAGGAACCTTGAGGCGTCATCTGGTACTAATTCAAACCTTTCAAAATAAAGATGGTACACATAGGCCTAAAGTCACATAGAGATTTAGTGGCCGAGCTGGGACTAGAGATCTCCTGATCCCCAGGCCTTATTCATCTCTCTGTTTTGCATTCATTATGAGACCCAAATTCCAAAAATGTTTCTGTGGTCTGTGATCATCACTTCTACCTGCATCAGACTAGCCAAGCTCCCAAGTCCTCTGGGGTTTAAATTAACCTGATACTTGCCAGACAACAGGGAGCAACTAGGTTGCTTTTGACCCTTGGCTAAGCAGTTAAGTGTATCTAAACTTAGAAGTAGCTGCTTAGGCCCAGCTGATGGTAGCCACAGTCGAGAGGCGAAAATCCCGGTGTTTGTCATCGCATTGACCTGCTGGTCTGTCATTGCAGTTTTTCACACATGCACGAATGGGAAACTGTTGATATTTTTTCGATTCAGAGTTTTCATTTTAATGCTGTTTGCAGTGTCTTGATATACTAAAGTGTTTGGTTTTTATGTAGTCCTATGAATGAACTTTTTGCTTATTAGAAAGCTCATTTCCTATTCAGAATTCAGATAGGTATTTGCCTGTATTTTCTGCAAGTGCATTTCATCAATAGTAGGTTACATCGAGTGACTGTCTCTAGATTATCAGAATCCAGTACAGTTGGTTGTTAAGTCCATGGGCTCTGGAATGAGACTCCATTTTCGTGTCAAATCTGCCACCTTCCTAGGTGTGTAACTCCTGGAAAGTCTCTTAGTTTCTCTGTCCTTCAGTTTGTTCATTAATAAAAATAGCTGTGATTATAGGAGTCCTTGCCTTATGGGGATGTTTCAGGGATTCAGTGAGTGATCACATATAAAGTGCTTACACCAAACAGTGCTTGGACACAGTAAGTTTACGCAGTTAATGATAGCTATTATTTTTGTTGTCATTTTAAGCACTTCATAAATACTGATTTTGGGTGAATTGTGAAAAGAGATACTGTAGGTAAGTAATATTAGAGATAACAATGCCTTACATTTATATAGTATCTTATATTTTTCAAGGCCCTTTCCCTAGAAGTTTCCAGATTTTCTTCTAACATTTTCAACTCTAAGGGATAGTTAAATTAATTAATTCAGATAATTCTTTTTCACAGTGCCTGCCATTGGTGAAGATACTGATAAACAATTAATTGACTCAGATCTAAGGAAAAGCAGAAGGCTTAGACATCACGGGTTGGCTAATTAGGTCTCTGATAAATACAGAATTTTACAGCTCTCTTTCTCGGAAGTTCGGTGGTTTTTGTTTTGGGGCGGGGGGGTTTTTGTTTGTTTTTTGTATACCCTGTAGATTTTCTGGGCTCATAGATGGCTTTGAGAATTCATTTTTGCTAGCACAGGTTAGATTTGTTTAATTTTTTTCCTCTGCTTTTGTAACAGCATTCTGCTCCAGATATGGTATACTTGGGATCTATGACAAATTTCGATGGGACTTATAATTGGATTCAAGATAAATGCGTTCCTCTTGTTCGAGAAATAACATTTGAAAATGGAGAGGTATGACTTTCTGATGTGTGTTATCTTTAAAGATTTCTGAAAGAGCAAGCTTCCTCCAGCCATCTTACTATTTTACTACACATTTACCAGTTGTGACAGTCATACAGTGAACAGAACTATGTCATAGCCATTTCTGTAATAGAGGCCACTGATTCTTAGCTTTTGCTATCCAAGAACCCCTCTCTGTTGCATTTCCATCAGTAGCCTTGAAAATGAGTTGGACCATGCCTCTCAGGTGATTCTGCCCTAGAGAAGCAGTGCTGTGCAGATTTTAGTTACAATTAATTATATACAGTGAATAATCTTTTGCCATAAAAAGGTTTTTCTGATTCCTGTCTATCCTGAAAGAATGAAATTTTGTTATTTCATCATAATAATGAAAGTAGTTATCAGATGTTATAACTGACCTCAGCGATCCTGAAATAAAGTCCATCCAAACTCTTACAGCTCCCATGAAAACAAACACAAAAGTCATTTTTAAAATATTTGAAGGAACAAGTACAAAGGGCTATGTCTGTGAGGTACATAAGAGAGCTGTGCATTACACATGAAAGAATTGTGTATAGTTCAGATTTTACATATATAGTTCAAATTATCACATACCCATATAACCACCACCTAGTCAGGAGTTGGCAGTTCTGTAAAGGGTCAGGTGGTAAATATTTTAGGCTCTGCAGCTGTGGCCCAGAAGCAGCCTCTTACAACACCTAGACTTGAGCGGGGATGTTCCAGTAAAGCTTGCTTGCTTGCGCTCTTCCTAGTTTGTTGAGTGAACATCCCTGCTACTTTTCTCAGTTCGCTAGGCTTTGGGTATGTTTAGCCGAATACATGTGTTTATTGCATTAGCTTATTTAGTCCTCAGAGGCTTAGAAAGATATAGTAACTTGTCACAATTATTCACCTGCTTTGGTAGTTGTTCCTTTTTTTTTTTTTTTTCAAAATGCACATTCTTTTATTTTTTAATTAACTGATTTTTTAAAATTATGGTATAATTAACATAGTGTTACATTAGTTTCATGTGTACAATACAGTGATTCAATAATTCCATACATCATTCACCACAAGTGCCCTCCTTAATCCCCATCACCAATTTCACCCATCCCCCACCCCCTTCCTTCTGCTAACCATCAGTGTGTTCTCTATAGTTAAGAGTTTGTTTCATGATTTGTCGCTCCCTCTCTTTTTTCCCTTTGCTCATTTGTTTTGTTTCTTAAATTCCACACATGAGTGAAATCATATAGTATTTGTCTTTCTTGGACTGATTTCACTTAGCCTTAAACCCTCTAGATCCATCCATGTTGTTCCGAATGGCAAGATGTCATTCTTTTTATGGCGGAGCAATATTCCATTGTGTGTACGTATATATGTATATATACTACCTCATATATATATATATATATATATATATATATATGCATGCCACCTCTTCTTTATCCATTTACCTATGGATGGACACTTGGGGTGCTGCCATAGTTTGGCTGTTTTAAGTAATACTGCAGTAAACATAGGGGTGCATATGTCTTTTCAAATTAGTGTTTTTGTTTTCTTTGGGTAAATACCCAGTAGTGGAATTACTGGATCATATGGTGATTCTATTTTTAATTTTTTTAAAGAACATCCATACTGTTTTTTACTTTGGCAGTTCTTACAGGAATAGTTTCTAAAACAGAGTCAAAATGTATAGACCTGGAAAATCTTAAAACAATAAATAGGGGTTCATCTGGCCACCCCCATAGTAGTTTCACATTTAAAATTCTTTAGATTTTTATTACATGTTGTAACCCACTACCCCAAATCATTTAAACTTTGAGGAAAGGTTTATTAACCTCTAAAGTTGGTTGTCTGGATGACCCTCCCCTGAGGGTTATCTTTTAATACCTATTTCATAAAGAATATGTTGGTGTGGGCACAGGGAAACATGGAAGCCCAGGCAGCATAAACTACCAGCTATTGTGTTAATGTATGTAAATTGATATAGCAAACTAATTGACATGGATGTATTCAAACTACTCATCTGTTCTCTCCTAATAGTTGTTAGTGCATCCATACTTTTGCTTAGTTTAATAAAGCAATATGTTATATTTGTTTTTACTTTTAACCTTCTAGCTCTTAAATTTTCTTTCTTTTCTTTTTTTTCAAGATTATATTTATTTATTTATTTGACAGCGAGAGAGGGAACACAAACAGGGGGAGTGGGAGAGGGAGAAGCAGGCTCTCTGCTGAGCAGGGAGCCCAATGTGGGGCTCGATCCCAGTACCCCGGGATCATGACCCGAGCCGAAGGTAGACACCTAACCGACTGAGCCACCCATGCGCCCCTAGCTCTTAAATTTTCTAGAAGGTGACTGCTGAGTCTTATTTCCCAATTAGTATTTATTCAGCAACATTTGTCTTCATTTATTCAGTCATAGGTTGACTGCACATTATTGTGTGTAGTAATCTGTGAGCAAAAGAGAAGTAAAGTGAAATTCTCTGTTTTTAAGAGGTTTTCAGTCCAGTAGTTTGCATACAGATAATGGAACATTAAAGACATACCCCATGCTACATGAGGGGCACTATGAAAATGTTCTGGGAATTCAGAGGAGAGACTTCATTTCTACCTTTGGCGGAAATGAGGTAGGAATCAGGGATGACTTTCTAGAAGAGGCATTTGGGTCCTGTAACAAAAGGGCAGAAAAGAAGTAGAAGTACTCATGGAAATAGGGAAATAAGAGGAGGGGCCTGTGCATTAATGAGTGTTGAAGGCACTGGTTGGACTTTGAAATGGAGATATCGAACAGGAAGTTGGGAATCCAGACTTGGATTGTGGACTGGAACTGGGCTTGGAGATAGAGAAGGAACCAGTTAGTGATGATGGAGATTATTGGAATAGTTGAAGTTGCCGGGCTAGAGCAGAGGAGTCCAAAGACAGAACCGTGGGAGTAGAAGCAATGAATGTGTTGGGGAAAGAAAAAAAATGTGAGCTGAAGAGATAAAAAGTGAGGAGGAAGAAATTGTAAGTCAGCTTGCTAAAAGATCAGTGTGGTGCCAGGGCCGTGGGGGAAGAGAGACGGAGAGCAACTGCTCACAAGTGAGTGTGGGTTTTCTTCTTGGAGTGATGCAGACATTCTGGAATTGGGTAGTGTCGATGTTTGAAAACCTTGTGAATATAATAAAACCCACCACATTGTACACTTTAAAGTGATGAATTTTGGGACGCCTGGGTGGCTCAGTTGGTTAAGCGTCTGCCTTTGGCTCAGGTCATGATCCCAAGGTCTTGGGATCAAGCCCCGCATCAGGCTCCTTGCTCAGTGGGGAGTCTGCTTCTCCCTCTCCCTCTGCCTGCCACTCCCTATCTCTCTCCCTCTCTGACAAATAAATAAATAAAATCTTTAAAAAAAAAAAAAGATGAATTTTATCATTTGTGAATTATATCTCAATCGAAAAAGGTAAACGTGACAAGAAGCTTAATAATTTATTCCGTATATGAGCATAACAGGCTTCAGCACTGAGACGGAAACCATAAGCAAGCTCATGTCCTAGAAGATAGGTTCCAGTTTTAGTTTTTTTAGCATAAAGGATGTTTGTGTTTTCTGCTGCTGCAATTCCTAAATTACAGAGAGACACGCAAGAGGATTGTTGATGGAAATAATTTTATTATAATAATTTTATTATGAAGCCCTTTCTGGGCTTTTTCTTATGAGTCAGAAGTTAGCATTTGTCAGAGAGAAGAAATGATGAAAATCTGCTGTCTACTCGTCACATTTCTCTTGATTATTCCCCAATAACAATAATACAAGTTTTTAGGGCATTCAGTAATTTTTGAGGTGCTTTTGTGTCTGTACCTTGTATAGACATATACACATACGTAGTGGCAGGTACTTGTTAATAATGTCGGATACATTGTGTATTGGTTAAAGACTGGCTGTCTTGTGGGGTTTTTGTGTTTTGGTCTGTACCAACCACTTTTTAGTTTTGGGTAGTTCTCATGTAAGTGGAAGGGTTTTTGCAATAAACTTTAGAAAAAACATGTTTCCCAGTCAGTTAGATTTATTTGTTGCTGGTACACTCACTCAGTTTTTCAGTGTTATTTGTGAAGACTGAAAATACTAATCATGTTTACCCTACCCTAAAATCAACAACATTTTGATAAAGAACCAACATAGTTCCTCCTTTGGTCAACTCATTTTTTAAATGTCATGGTTTCATCTAAAAGGAGCTGACTGATAGATCAGTGCAGTAGTTATTTTAAGGCAGATCAGTCCCAGCAGTGGAACAGGACACGTGGGTCCTCTGAGTGCCTGGGCACTTGAGGGAGAGGGCATGGGTTCCTTCTGCCGTTGAGGCTAATGTTTGTTTACACCACTGGACCTTTTTTTCCCTGGCATGTTGCAACTGTTATGCATGTTACATGAGTTGGGTTCAAGTTGTTCCTACCTAGAACAATGGCAAGGCCTGATAATTCTTATTGAATACTTCTGTATACAGGAATTGACAGAAGAAGGACTGCCTTTTCTCATACTCTTCCACATGAAAGAAGATACGGAAAGTTTAGAAATATTCCAGAATGAAGTAGCCCGACAATTAATAAGTGAAAAAGGTAGACAGATTAAGGTGTTTATTTTCAGCCTTTCTTCTGTCCCTCTGCTCCCCCCATTACATTCATATCAGTGTAAACATATTTGGGTTAAAAATTTAATAAGTAATGTTAACTCTACTCAACCCCTGAATTTACATGTCAACATGGGGGTGGGAAGCATTAGTAGAGATATTATGAAGTAGTGGCTTTTCAAAAAAAACAGAGAAACACATGACTGTTTAGCTCCCTAAAATCAAATAGCATGAAAAGTGGGGTCATGCGTGGACAACAATGTTAGTTTTAGGTACTTTCTTCCAGCACCTTGATATTTGTCTGGTCCCTTTCTAATGGATAGTCCCAGAGAGATCACCGAGAGAACTTACACAGACTAACATTTATTTCTAAATAAAAGAAAGTTGAGTAGTTCTCTGTGGAGCTCTCCAAACCATCAGAAAGGAGTTTGAGTTTTCACCCACTTTTCTTCTGTAGTGAGAGAGGAAAGTCAAACAAATAAAGTGAGGGCATTGTATAGAGCCATGCTCTTATTAGTCATGTACTAAGTGTTTTGGGGTTGAAATAAATTAAATGTCAACCAGTAGGGACTGGAAGGGCATCCTCCTTGAGAAAAGCTCATCTGTCAGTTTCATGAACTTGCTCACAACCGAGACCTGGATAGGGAACTGTCCATTTAAGGAAAATAAAAAAAAATTAACCAGAGCATCTGAATTAAGTTTGAGTTCATATAATTTCTCAGGAAATTATACTCTGCCCTAAGCACTAAAATTCTACCTCTTTTAAATGTTGTAATATTTAGGTTGTAGTTTTTGTGATCTATATTATTCTAACGCATGTTGATTATTGAAATTCATTAATTTATGTCACTTTTTGTGAACTTACAATCTTATGAGACTACAGTCAAGAAAATTCTAATCTCCCTCTCCAAATTCTATTTCCTGTAAAGGTACAATAAACTTCTTACATGCTGACTGTGACAAATTTAGACATCCTCTTCTGCACATACAGAAAACTCCAGCAGATTGCCCTGTCATAGCTATTGACAGCTTTAGGCACATGTATGTGTTTGGAGACTTCAGGGATGTGTTGTAAGTATTCTTTTTTCTTCTTCTTCTTCAATTACTGATATGTGTCTGAAAAATGAACTTAAAACCATTGTTTGAATATTTTAAATAATCCTATATTGAACCAGTAATACTTTGTTATTTGGATGGATAAGGTTTTATTTTTCACTCTAGAGTGTGGTGTAATTGTGAGAATTATGGTATATTCTTATAGAAATGCCAGCATTAGGTGATCCTAATACTTGGGAATTAATCTCTGAAAGAAAATTTTGCCCTTCCAGAAATTAGTTCTGAATTGAATTTGGTGTTTGTCAGCATGTCAAGGAAAGCAGATTATAGTCCCAGGTCAGGTTGGGCGCCTGAGTGGCTCAGTTGGTTAAGCGACTGCCTTCGGCTCAGGTCATGATCCTGGAGTCCCTGGATCGAGTCCCGCATCGGGCTCCCTGCTCGGCAGGGTGCCTGCTTCTCCCTCTGACCCTCCCCCCTCTCATGTGCTCTCTGTCTTTCTCATTCTCTCTGTCTCAGATAAATAAATAAAATCTTTAAAAAAAAAAAAAGAAAGAAAATTTTGCCCTTCCAGAAATTAGTTCTGAATTGAGTTTGGTGTTTGTCAGCATGTCAAGGAAAGCAGATTATAGTCCCAGGTCAGGTTAAAGGTAATTGGTAGTATTGCTGCTCACTGTGGTATTTAGGACCCAGAATATGGCTACGGCTAGGTGTTTCTGAGGGTATAGAGCTATGAACCTTTCCAAGAACGGGTAAGCTTTCTGAGTCCATTCTCAATTATCCATTCTTAGCTCTTTATACTATTAATAAATATGTAACCTGTGTCTCTACAACAGATAGTAGATTTTTATCAGCTTTCCAAGATGTTAAATGCAGTGGTAAAAAATGGAGATGTTTCTTCATGTATGAAAATTTTAAGCAACAGGTATTAATTCAAATTAGACTTCTTTTAAATTTATTTAAGTACCCTGTTTTATGTCTACAGATTAAATTGCACAGTTAGAGGATGATTTGAAATCCTTATTGCAGAATGAATTACCTCACTCACTACTCAGTATTTTATTATAGAGATGTAGTTGTTTGATAGAAGATTCTCAGTCTTACTGCATAGCAGGCCTGGATTTGAGTTCTGCCTTGGGCAAGTCACTTAACTTCTCTGTTCTTGTTTCTTTACACTTAAAATATGGTTGGTGGTACAGTTTATCTGATGGGATTGTTATGAAAATTAATGAGAGATGACAGTTGTGTTATGAACCATAAAGTACTAACAAGTATTTGTTCTTTCTACTTTACCTACACTCAAAAGAATACCATTTAGCCTGTTAGCTCATTAAATATTTATGCAGGTCTTTTGTAAATTCTTATTGTAAAATACATATAACATAAAATTTTCCATTTTAACCATTTTAAAGAGTAAAATTTGGTGGTATTAATTATGTTCACAGTGTTATACAACCATCACTAGTACTAGTTCCAGAACTTTTTCATCATCCTAAACAGAAATCCCATACCCATTAAGCAGTCACATCACATTCCGCCTCCCCTCTGCTCACGGCAACCACTAACCCATTTTCTGTTTCTGTGGATTTGTCTATAATGGATATTTCATATAAGTGGAATCATACAATTTGTGATCCTTTGTGTCTGACTTCTTTAACTTAGCATAACTTTTTCAAAGTTCATCAATATTTTAGCAAATATTGGCACTTCATTCCTTTTTACTACCAAATAATACTTTATTATATAGCTATACCACATTTCTTCTGTCAGTTGGTGAATTTTTTAAATTATTTTTTTAATTAAAATTCAATTAATTAATGTATAGCATATTATTAGTTTCAGAGGTAGAGGTCAGTGATTCATCAGTTGTATATAACACCCAGTGCTTATTACATCATGTGTCCTCCTTAATGCCCATCACCCAGTGACTCCATCCCCTCATCCCTCTCCCCTCCAGCAACCCTCAGTTTGTTTCCTATGATTAAGTCTCTTATGGTTTGTCTCCCTGTCTGATTTCATGTTGTTTTATTTTTCCCTCCCTTCTCCTAGAATCCTCTGTTTTGTTTCTTAAATTCCACATATCAGTGAGATCCAGGTCTTCTCTATGACAGTCACTATATAATATAAACCAAGTCATATAAACCAGTGATTTAAAGTTTACTAAGACTGGGTCCTTGCCCTCAATGAACTCACAACCAAGTAGAGAAAGGAGACAAGTAGGGTAACAGGCAGTTGTGTTTTACGATGTGAGAAGGGCTCTAGGGCAGAGCTCAACAGGAAGGTACCTGATCCAGGCTCTGGAGATGTGGATGCCTAAGGTGGGTCCTAAAGTTCTGTACCGCTTTATCATGGATGGAGAAGGAGACACGGCTTGGAGAAGGGGGATATTGGCAGAAACAAGTACGAAACTGTGGCTGAATATGCGTGGACGGGAGGGGGAATGCTGAGTAGTGAGAAGCGAGCAGCAGCTAGCTCATGAAAGCCCTATGATGTGTTAGGGAAGTTTGGCATTATCCTGAAAACGCTGAAGAGTCAATGAAAGGTTTGAATCGGGAGGTAATGAATCATGGAACACTACATCAAAAACTAACGATGTACTGTATGGCGACTAACATAATAAAAAAATTTTAAAAATAAAAAATCACTCAGGCTATAAACTGGAAAATAGATGAGAGGGAGTCAAAAAAGAATCCAGGAGACTGTTCAGTAATCCAAACAAGAGTTGATGATAGCCAACAAGTTGATGAATCTTGAATGAACAAATTACCTAATAAATTCTGGCAGTAGAACTAAAGCTAGAGAGAAGCAGGAATCTTGAGATATTTTGTAGGTGGAATAGGGGGACTTGGTATCGTAATAAAATAATAGAGAGCTCTGAGTGATGGCCAGGAATCTGACTCGCACAGCTAAGTGGGTTAGCCATTCACTGAGCTGGAGAACTCAGTGGAGGAGCAGCCTTGTGGTAGAGGAAATGAGTTTTCTTTCTTGGCATATTGAATTTGGGGTGCCAGGGGCCACGAAGGAGGAGTTTCCAGTAGGGAGTTTACATGGCTCCAGGATTCAACAGGGAGATCAGGGCAGGGTCTTGAACACATAAGGCTATAGCTGAAGTTATTGAAACAGCTGAGATGACTTAGCCCAGGGCTGAAAATGGAACCCTGATGAAAGCCAACATTTAAGGGGACGACAGAAGAAGGAACATGTGTAAAAGACTCAGGAGGAGGAGGAATCAAAGAAATGAAAAACCAGAAGAGAGTAATACGGTAATTGAGGGAGGAGCACTTTTAGCAGGAAGGAATGCTTAATCAGAAGGATGAAAGATCTGTTAGATTTGCCCCCCGCAACCCCCCCGCAAAGGCTGTATTGCAGTGAATCAAAGAGTACTGTTTGGTGAGGAAATGAAGATTTGACAATGAAAATTGTTGCAAGAAGCTAGCCTCTAAAGGGAAAGAAAAATAGGGGGATAGCTCCAGAGAGACATAGGATGAAGGGAGGTTTTGGCTTTTCTTTTTTCTTTCTTTTTTTTTTTTAACCCCCTTAGGGTACAAGAAACTAACCATGATTAAATGCTTGTGGGAAAGAATCAAATGGATTGAAGAGTTATGGAAAAAGAGGGGCTAATTGATCAAGCATAGCCCCAAGGAGCACAGAGGGAATGAGAAGCAAAGGAAAGAACCTTCTTCCTTTCCCATGAGAAAGAGAGGAAAGGAAGGGTGCATTCCTTTGGGGGTGCTTGGGGATTCCAGTGTTAGTGATAGGAGCAGAAGACCACAGATGTTTCCTGTCCAGTTCTTGTTTTTAACTGTGGCTAGGGAAGCAAGATCATTTACTGAGAGTGACGAGGTAAGGGGATATTGAGAGGCAGGACTGTGCTGGATTTTACAAGGAAGAGTAGTTGTACCCAGAAATCCACCTGAAAGGTCCAGATATCCCTAGCATCTCGGTGGAACTCCTACAGTCCCCTTAGCAAGCACGTGAGCATGGACTGTTGGGCTAGATGGAAATGTCTTACCTGGTTGGGTGTCCTCTTCCTCTCATTTCTTAGGCTTGCTTCCTGAAGCTATACAAGCTCAAGTTGAAAGAATGAGCTTTTTAAGAGAGGGTAGTTCTAGTGTCTGGGCTTGCTGTAAGTGCTTCCAGGCAGAGAGACTGTGGTTGGCATTAAAAATCCTACCTTATGCATGGGTTGTTTATATGAAGTTGTTAGCAGCACATTTCCCTACCTCTCACAGTGGATAAATCTCTGGTTCTTTACCTCTTTGCTTTCACTGCAGACTTACAGTCCCAATTACAAAGTCTTATATTAGTGGAAGTCAGCAGGATACTGACTTTACTATCAGTCAGCACCCAGATTATGCCCAACTTTGGCTTTTGTTCCTAGGAACACATCAAGGGTCATCTGTGAGGATTTCCATCTTGGCTGTCTTAAATTTTCTCCTCCAGTTCTGAAGTCAGATTTAAGTGCTACTTTGGCACTTCCAATCCCATCTTGGTGTCTGTTGGTCAGAGAACCCAACTAACACAAGTAGGTGTATTCTTTATCAGATGACCCAGCCCCCCTATTCTCCAGCTATAGTTTACTGGACCAAGAGGTGGGCACCTGCCCAAGAAAAACTAAACTATTAGCTGGCAGCATTCTACATCTGCCCTGGTGTAAAAAGAAACTGTGCCATTAAGATTCTCCAAAGAAATCTGGAAATGGGAAATAGTCCTCTCCTATCCTGCAAGTGTTTAGTCCTGTGAGTAGGGAGGGAGATAAGAGAATTGACGATACATGAAGCTCTTTGAAACGAATTACTTCTTTAATTTCTCCCTTAGGTGCCTGATTTTCCCTCCTAGGCACTGTTCACTCTAATATTTTTTTAATTGTAAGGAGGCACATGCTGTGTGAGCTACAAATTGAGCCTATGTGAATAAGTGTTGGTGTTTAAAATCAAATAAAATATGTAGCAAAGTGAATCTGACACATTTATTGGCTTGCATAATTGTTATTGTGCTGCATGGTAATTAAGGCTTAA